AATAAAAAATAATATAAATCACTCTAATATTATAATATTTAAACAGTTTAAATATAAACACGCACAACCTGCTGCTGGGATTCACCGTGGGAGGTAAAAAATAATTAAAAAATAATATAAAAATCACTCTAATATTATAATATTTTAAACAGTTTAAATATAAACACGCACAACCTGCTGCTGGGATTCACCGTGGGAGGTAAAAAAACTCTAATATTATAATATTTATGAAGTCAAACCTGTGGAAGGTTCGACAGTAAAACGACACAAACACAGAGACCAGAATTTAAAATCAAAAACTCAGTTTGTTTGGTGATAATAAAATGATGAAACGAGTCGTAATTAAGGAAAATTGTTTTGCACTCGACTCCCAACTCTGGTCTAGACTCTGGTCTTGGTCTTGGCTCTGGTCTGTGGTCTGGTCTGTGGTCTGGTCTGGTCTTGGTCTTGGCTCTGGTCTGTGGTCTAGACTCGGTCTTGGCTCTGGTCTTGGGTCTAGTCTTGGTCTTGGTCTTGGCTCTGGTCTGTGGTCTAGACTCGGTCTTGGCTCCGGTCCTGGCTCTGGTCTTGGTACGGACTCTGGTCTAGACTCGGTCTGGTCTCGGTCTTGGCTCTGGTCTGTGGTCTAGTCTTTAGTCCGGACTCTGGTATGTGGACTAGACTCGGTCTTGGTCTTGGTCCTGGCTCTGGTCCTGGCTCTGGTCTTTAGTCCAGACTCTGGTATGTGGTCTAGACTCGGTCTGGTCTCTGTCTCGGTCTTGGTCTTGGCTCTGGTCTTTGGTCCGGACTCTGGTATGTGGTCTGGTCTGTGGTCTGGTCTGTGGTCTAGACTCGGTCCTGGCTCTGGTCTTGGTCCGGACTCTGGTCTGTGGTCTGGTCTTTAGTCCGGACTCTGGTCTGTGGTCTGGACTCAGTCTTGGTCTTGGTCCTGGTCTCTGGTCTTTAGTCCGGACTCTGGTGTGTCCTGTCTTGGTCTTGGTCCGGACTCTGGTCTAGACTCTGGTCTGGTCTTCGGTCCTGGTCCTGGTCCTGGTCTTGGTCTTGGTCTTGGTCTGGGTCTGGTCTGGTCTGGTCTGGTCTGGTCTTGGTCTCTGGTCTGGTCTGGTCTGGTCTGGTCTGGTCCTGGTCTGGTCTGGTCTGGTCTGGTCTGGTCTGGTCTTGGTCTGGTCTTGGTCCTGGTCCTGGTCTTGGTCTTGGTCTTGGTCTTTGGTCTGGTCTTAGGTCCGGTCTCTGGTCTTGGTCCTGGTCTGGTCTGGTCTGGTCTTGGTCCTGGTCTGGTCTTGGTCTGGTCTTGGTCCTGGTCTGGTCTTGGTCTGGTCTGGTCTTGGTCTTGGTCTGGTCTTGGTCTTGGTCCTGGTCCTGGTCTGGTCTGGTCTTGGTCTTGGTCTTGGTCTTGGTCTTGGTCCTGGTCTGGTCTGGTCTGGTCTGGTCTGGTCTTGGTCTTGGTCTTGGTCTGGTCTGGTGGTCTTGGTCTGGTGGTCTTGGTCTGGTTGGTCTTGGTCTTGGTCTGGTCTGGTCTTGGTCTTGGTCTTGGTCCTTGGTCTTGGTCTGGTGGTCCTGGCTCTGGTCTTGGTCTTGGTCTTGGTCTTGGTCTTGGTCTTGGTCTGGTCCTGGTCTTGGTCTGGTCTTGGTCCTGGTCTGGTCTTGGTCTGGTCCTGGTCCTGGTCTTGGTCTGGTCTTGGTCTGGTCTTGGTCCTTGGTCTGGTCTTGGTCCTGGTCTGGTCTGGTCCTGGTCTTGGTCTGGTGGTCCTTGGTCTTGGTCTGGTCTGGTCCTGGTCTTGGTCTGGTCTGGTCTGGTCTTGGTCTTGGTCTTGGTCCTGGTCTTGGTCTGTCTTGGTCCTTGGTCTTGGTCCTGGTCTGGTCTGGGTCTTGGTCTGGTGGTCTTGGTCCTTCGGTCTTGGTCTTGGTCTTGGTCTTGGTCTTGGTCTGGTCCTGGTCTTGGTCTGGTCTTGGTCCTGGTCTTGGTCCTGGTCCTTGGTCCTTGGTCTGGTCTTGGTCTTGGTCTGGTCTGGTCCTGGTCTGGTGGTCTGGTCTTGGTCCTGGTCTTGGTCTGGTCTTGGTCTTGGTCCTGGTCTGGTCCTGGTCTTGGTCTTGGTCCTTGGTCCTGGCTGGTCTTGGTCTTGGTCCTGGTCCTGGTCTTGGTCTTGGTCCTGGTCTTGGTCCTGGTCTTGGTCCTTGGTCTTGGTCTGGTCTGGTGGTCCTGGTCTTGGTCTGGTGGTCTTGGTCTGGTCTTGGTCTGGTCCTGGTCTGGTCGGTCTTGGTCTTGGTCTGGTCCTGGTGGTCTTGGTCTGGTCTTGGTCCTGGTCTGGCTGGTCCTGGTCCTGGTCTTGGTCTGGTCTGGTCTTGGTCCTGGTCTGGTGGTCTTGGTCTGGTCTGGTCTTGGTCTGGTCTGGTCCTGGTCTTGGTCCTCTTGGTCTGGTCTTGGTCTGGTCCTGGTCTGGGTCCTGGTCTGGTCTTCGGTCTGGTCTTGGTCTGGTCTTGGTCTTGGCTTCTTGGTCTGGTCTGGTCTGGTCTTGGTCTGGTCTGGTCTGGTCTGGTCTGGTCTGGTCTGGTCTGGTCTTGGTCTGGTCTTGGTCTGGTCTGGTCTTGTCTGGTCTCCTGGTCTTGGGTCTGGTGGTCTTGGTCTTGGTCCTGGTCTTGGTCTGGTCTTGGTCCTGGTCCTGGTCTTGGTCTTGGTCTGGTCTTGGTCTGGTCTGGTCCTTGGTCTGGTCTGGTCCTGGTCTTGGTCTTCTTGGTCTGGTCTTGGTCTTGGTCCTGGTCCTTGGTCCTTGGGTCTTGGTCTTGGTCTGGTCTGCTTGGTCTGGTGGTCTTGGTCTTGGTCTTGGTCTTGGTCTTGGTCTTGGTCTGGTCTGGTCTGGTCTGGTCCTTGGTCCTGGTCTTGGTCCTTGGTCTTGGTCTTGGTCTTGGTCCTGCTGGTCTTGGTCCTGGTCTCTTGGTCTGGTCCTTGGTCCTGGTCTGGTCTGGTCTTGTCCTGGTCTGGTCTTGAGTGATGATGTCGTCTGTTTCTGTATAAACATGTTTAACATCAGATCTGAATCTAGCAGATGAATTACACACAACCACATACCAGAGTCCAGACCAAGACCAAGACAAGACCAGGACCAAGACCAGACCAAGACCAGAGTCCAGACCAAGACCAGAGTCCAGACCAAGACCAAGACCAGACCAAGACCAGAGTCCAGACCAAGACCAAGACTAAGACCAAGACCAGAGTCCAGACCAAGACCAAGACCAGACCAGACCAGACCAAGACCAGGACCAGACCAGACCAGTCCAGACCAAGACCGACCAAGACCAGACCAGAGTCCAACCAAGACCAGAGACCAGACCAGACCAGAGACCAGACCCAGACCAAGACCAGACTAAGACCAGGACCAGGACTAGTCCAACCCAGAGACCAAGACCAGGACCAGGACTAAGACAGACCAGGACCCAAGACCAGAGTAAGACCAGACCAGGACCAGACCAGGACCAGACCAGGAGACCAGGACCAAGACCAGGACCAGGAGACCAAGACCAGACCAGGACCAAGACCAGGACTAAGACCAGGACCAGACCAGACCAGGACCAAGACCAGGACCAGACCAGACAGGACCAGGACCAAGACCAGACCAAGACCAGACGAGACCAAGACCAGGACTAAGACCAAGACCAGGACCAAGACCAGAGTCCAGACCAAGACCAGACCAGACCAGACCAGGACCAAGACCCAAGACCAGGACCAGGACTAAGACCAAGACCAGGAGGACCAAGACCAGACCAGGACAAGACCAGACCAGACCAGGACTAGAGACCAGACCAAGACCAAGGACTAAGGACCAGGACCAGACCAGGACTAAGACCAGGACCAGACCAAGACCAGACCAAGACCAAGACCAAGGAGACCAAGACCAAGACCAGAGAAGACCAGGACTAAGACCAAGACCAAGACCAGACTCCAGACCAAGACCAGGATAAGACCAGACCAGGACTAAGACCAAGACCAAGACCAAGACCAGACCAGGACCAAGGACTAAGACCAAGACCAGACCAGAGACCAGACCAAGACCAAGGAGTCTACCAGGACCAGACCAGGACCAAGACCAAGGACTAAGACAGAGACGCAAGTCCAGACCAAGACCAGGAGACCAGGACCAGACCAGAGACCAAGACCAAGACCAGACTAAGACCAGACCAGACCAGACCAGGACCAGACCAGACTAAGACCAAGACCAGGACCAGGACCAAGACCACCAGACCAAGACCAGGACCCAAGACCAAGGACCAGGACCAAGACCAGGACTAAGACCAGGAGACCAAGGACCAGGACTAAGACCAAGACCAGAGACCAGACCAAGACCAGGACCAGACCAAGACCAAGACCAAGACCAGACTAAGACCAAGACCAAGACCAAGGACTCCAGAGTCCAAGACCAGGACCAAGACCAGGACCAGATAACCAAGACCAGACCAAGACCAGGACCAGAGACCAGGACCAGACCAGACCAAGACCAAGACCAGGACCAAGACCAGACCAGACCAGACCAAGACCAGACCAGACCAAGACCAGAAGACCAGGACCCAGGACCAAGACCCAACCAGACCAAGACCAGAGACCAAGACCAAGACTAAGACCAGGACCAGACCAGACCAGACCAGGACCAGGACCAGGACCAGACCAGGACCAGACCAAGACCAGAGACCAGGACTAACCAGGACCAAGGACCAAGACCAGGACCAAGACCAGACGACCAAGACCAAGACCAGACCAAGACAAGACCAGACCAGACCAAGACCAGGACCAAGACCAAGGACCAAGGACCAGGACCAGACCAAGACCAAGACCAGGACTAGACCAAGACCAGAGACCAGGACCAGGACCAAGACCAGACCAAGACCAAGACCAAGACCAGGACCAAGACCAAGACCAGACCAGACCAAGACCAGGAGACCAGACAGACCAGAAGACCAACCAGGACCAGGACCAGACCAAGACCAGGACCAAGACCAAGGACCAAGAC